TATATATATATATATATATATATATATATATATATATATATATATATATATATATATATATATATATATATATATATACCCCGGCATGTCATATATAGTAATTAATAATTGTTCAACAATTCTACTTACTTAGACATGTTTGACAGGTCAGAAAAAACATAACATCTTGAGAGGCATGTAAACCTGTTTGTAGTATAGTTGAGGAAGTATTTCAGGTTATGATTGACCAGGTTATTGACCAGGAAACGTACAAGGAAGAGCGCAGACTGAATTTTTTGTGTAATAGTGGGTCAGGGCAGTAACTCAAGTCATTTGTCATTCCAATGTTTAAGTTATATTTATTATGTCAGGATCTAGCTGTTGGAGAATGAAACACTACAAGATTAATCTTACATTGGCAATAATAACGACATGCAGTGACTGGTGAAGTACTATAGGTCAGAGAAGCCATGAGAGACCGGAACACTGCTCTATTAAAACAAATCGTACATTGGCAAGAATGATTACATGCAGGCGAGTGGTATCTAGTAGAGTACTATAGATCCGAGAATTTCAACATAGATCAGAGAATTTATGTATTAGAACAAATATTAAATGCCATCTAATAAAGTGGAACAGTCATGATTTAGCAGTCGAAGCATATATACAAGGTAGAATTTGATACCTTGGTCTGATGGTTAGGTGCTAGTGTTGGATATCAGGCACAATCTTTTAAGTGGTCCTCACATTAATGGTGGTCTGTGTTTCATGAAGAAAATAGTTTTCCTGTCTAATTTAGAATCTAGTTGATTCACGACCCCTCCCCCTCCCGACATCAACACATTTGAATTGATGACTGGAAGGTTTAAGTTGTTGGGGGAGGCAAAGAAGGAAGCACTGTGCCAACCAAGAGATCATAAATCATGAAAAGTTTGTGAATAACTAGTGAAGAAGTTGTTCAGGTTTTAGACAATTCTGAGTGGTATGGTTTTGAGAGGTTAGAGGGGAGGTATCTACCAGCAAATTAGTTTCTCTTGTGAAGTTATTTTTATGAACTTTGTAATTTAAATTACGACCACGCTGCTGGTTAAAAATAAACACTGCCCTGCCAACCAGGAAGTGATGTCTCCTTCTATGACTCACTGTAGTGTTTCAACCTGTAAAAAAAAAGGGAAAATACAGCAGTTGAATAAACTTAAATGTTGTAATAGAAAATAAATATTAACTTGAAAAATAATTTGAGGCCAGCAAACCATATATTGGGTTTTACAACATGTGCAATTTTAATATTTTAATTTGTTTTATTCAATATGATTTTCGTTTTTTAATACATCTTCTAGTTGCTAAATTTTAAAACATTTTAGAAAAAAGTGACAATAATACAAAATAATTAATTATGCATATTAATTCATTAAAGAGGCACATCTGCATACATTTGATTAGGGTACCATACTCTTGCAATGCAAAACAGATATACACAGCAACCATTGCCATTATTTATACTTTCAAAACTCAATAAAGATTATTCCTATTCTTTGGGTTTGGCAGTAAATTTATTCAAAACATTTGTTGTGATGATATGTGTACCGGTAATATGCAAATTAGGTTAATTAACATGCACAATTTTTTGCCCCAAATAATGTGTCAAAGTGCTAGAATAACTGAATATTCATTTCAAAAGACTCTTTGTGATAAATTAATGTATACGAACTGAAGTAACCATGTAATACACAGTCAAATAATTGTTTAAAATTCTATAAAAGTCTAAAGATTTGTTTTTTCTCAAAATTGTCAAGACCTCACCAAACAATTACAACATAGGTCTTTCAAGACCCTAAAAAGTGTGAAATTGAGCTAATAAATCTTCGAAAATAATGTGATTGTGATGTCCGCATGATTTACTAGAGATTGTAGAAGTGGCTCCATTTTGCCAAAAAAATATGGGAAAAATGTTAATTGTGCATGGATATCATTCATCTGTTCAATTCACTACTAAGCAACTGACAAATGAAAATCATGATTTCAAAAAATATTTCTATTTAGAAAAATTGAAAAGCCATTCCTTGAAAAGAAACAGTATAACAAAAACAAACAAATTAGAAGGAGAACAATTTAATGAATAGTGTATTTACTTTATTACATAAAGTTTGGAAAATCAAATGTATGAAGTTTTCACTGCAGGCGACTGGTACATATAATGTTGGTATACTGTAAAATACTTTGTTTTAGCTGGAATTAATTTTCGGTGAAAATATTTTTCGGGTGTTTTGTTTGCAATTTATTTTCACTGATTTCTGATGAGTTGAATGCAAAATATAGAAAAAAAAAAGGGATATTTGCTGGATTTTATTTTCATTGAAATATTCCTTCAGCAAAATTAGCAAAAATTAATTCCAAGCAAAAATAAGTATTTTACAGTATTATTAGTCATTTTTGTATGTTTGTAAACATTTGTGCATGCAAAGGTCTCAAGTTTCAATCCACAAATCAATATTAAATATATCACTATCACCAGAAATACTAACCCATTTGGCTTACAGTGGGAAAGAGTTAACTTGACAATTTGTAACCTAATTTAATATTTTTGGAGAAAAAAAAACAAAAAAAACTTGTACTTACCGATATAAAAGTGCATCTCCTTTGTTGTTGCCAATTGCTAGGTAACCACTACGAGGTGAGAAATCTAAACATGTTGGTTTGTAAATGGAAACCTGGAACTCTGGGAAATTTGAGAATGCCGACATGGATGGAAAATGAATCTGAAATAAAAAAAACGAGAACGGTATAAAGTATATTAGTTTGGTTGTCATAGCAACACAGGGATTTCATTAAGAGTAGGCCACCGGCCATATGGCCGGCTACACACCCAAATTGGCCATCTACTTACTGTTCTCCCAACCACCACCATCAACCCACCCGCCACGCCATGCCACGTCATGCCAACGCCGGTCTCGCTGAGAGCCTTTTTATTTATTTTTTTTTGGCCTGATGAACAGAAAATTCATTTGTGAAACCCCTGACAACATATTAGCATTAATGTTATATATCTATAAAATCTGAAAATGAATTAATCACACGGATTGGCCTCCATCCTGTTTATTCTGCTGAAAACATCACGATAATAATAAGTTCCTCTTATGAAACGAACAAGTTGTTTTAAATTGAAGTCCCTTACATATGCTTTCAACAGTGTCATGTAATGTTGTTTTCATTTTATTTCAGCTCAATATTAATATTTTCTACAGCTACTACAACCAGGTTTAGACGTTTTCCAGAGCTGCTTCACACTTAACTTTTCTATCACATGCTAACACTTTTCTATCACATGCTAACTTTTTTCTATCACATGCTAACTTTTTTCTATCACATGCTAACTTTTTTCTATCACATGCTATAAATGCTTTTCTATCATCTGCAAATACGTTCCTATCACACAACCAAAGGTTTATAAGGGTGTCTAATTTAGATACCTATGAAATGTCATAAGTGATGTATTTAATGCATTTATAAATCGAGCATGGAGCCGGGAATATCCACTGGTGGCGCCTTATGTAATCAAGACATATTTTGGCTTGTCGTAGCTCATTTAGATTGTATTGTAAAACATATTGTATTGTTAAATTTGGTGACCAGTTTAGTATGATAGAAAGCGTTTACAGTCTTCAAATAACCACAATAGAGAGAATGGGGGTCAAGACCGAATATACGTGATTTCGGCGTCTCATAAGAAATGCTTTTTATAATAATTTAATTTTCAAATACTATTTGTTAAAGGTTATTAGCATTTTGTGTACGCAGTGTGCATGCTTCGGACCCTTTTTCTGTATTCCACAACGCATGCGTCATCATCAGGTCAATTGAAATTTTTTGTTTCATGCATCATAAAGTTCAGCACCTTCCATGGGTTTCACCACATTGATGGTGGTGAACATTGCCTTCGTATTCGAAGCCTACGCATAAGCGACGCTACCAGATATATACAACAGCTAACAAGCCAGCGACTGCTGAGGATTTGTACACACTCCCACCGTGTCATACGCTGTAATATGCAATGACAATCCTGATTTCCCCATAAAGTCTGGATTTGATGCATTTTTAACATAAATCTGTGCATATGTGTGACATCTATAAAGTTTAAACTTGACTGGTCAAGGCATGTCAGAAACATGTCTTTGGAACAGCATTCCTTCAAACAAAATGACGCCAGTTGGACATTTTCAAATCTGATCTAAAAAACAAAATTACTTTCATCAAGAGTCCATAATGTTTAATGTATGTACCATGTTTGATCTAGTTTTGGAATGGCAGAAATGCTTGATTTTGATGAATTTTTCAAATTAAAATGGTTGTCATTCGGCCATCTTGGAAAAAAATCATGAAACAAATGTGCATATGTGTTCCAATATATATAATGCGAGTCTGAAGTTTTGAATAACGACTAAAAAGTGTCAAAGGTCAATTAGATAACAAGGTGTCGGATAGAGGTCAACAAAGAAGTGGTTGGTTTATTTGTTTATTAATGGTACTTATAAATTCTACAAATTATAAATTCTAAACAAATAATTAGTAACACCAGTGTACTGGTACAGATATCACTGAAATTTTAAACATATTTCCGCTTCTATCTTTTTACGGCTCTTCTGACAGCTAAAAACCCAGTAACGAAATGTTGACAGTATTTAGTTTGCCACACAAGGCAAACTTTTGGGAGGTTTAAAATACTGTCAACTGTTGTAGATACAAGCAAATAGCTGCTGGCTTCCTTCAGAACGCTGGAATGAATTTGTAAACGCAGTGATTACAAAAGACTGTCAATTTTATGGGTTTTTTAAAAGTAAATTTGTGTAAAATCTAACTATTATGGGACATTGTACCTAAGTAGTACGGTAAAATACAGAAAATTCTTGTTATTTTGCTGAGCAGACCTTTCCGTTGAAAAAAATAAAAAGAAAGAGTAATCAAAAAACAAGGGTATCAAGAGTTGTTTTTTATATGGAAGTAATCCTATAATTTCCACGTAGCGTTCAGCCTTAATTTCCGACCAATTTAAATTTAAAATTCAACTACCATTCGATATATACTAAATTTGTTGTGTACTGGATCATTCAAATATCAATAAAAACACAAATAATTTAAGTAACTGAGATTCGTAAAAGTTTTTTCTTCAGACTTTCAATTAGTCATTCATAAAATTCCACAAGTCATTGGTCAATGTCATAGTCCCTATTGTTATTATCATTTTTGACTGGTGGTCATAAAAGAAATCTCTTACATCTGCTCCAGACAGCTACTTCACATCAGATGTCTGGTACATTATGATTGACAAGGACATGCGTACCTCGGCACTACTTCCTTGTGATCAATATTTTTGTTTGGAATATTTACATGATAAGGTTGCTATTATTAGTAAACGCAAAATTCCAGCGGGGGAAAAAAAATTGTTGTGAATTACAAAATCAATCACAATAAAAATGTCAAGTATTTTGAAATGTGTTGCCTCATTGTGTATTTAACGATAGAGAGCATATTAAGTAAATAGAACAAGTTTTTGTTAATGACATAGTCCCTGTTGGAATTAGGAGAAATGTTATTCATGCCTAAGATAATAAGTAATATGGCCGAAAAGCAAGATGGCCGTTGTCTTTTATCTAATCACAAGGAAATTTTTATGGACATGTATTGCTACATGCATAATATATGCAATCAAATTGCAAATCACTGGTCATGTGACCAGGTAAATTGTTCATAAATGAATTTGTATGGTCAGTAATTGAGTGAATAATAGAATAATCTGGTAAAAACAACAAACAGATTTATCAAATAACTTCTAAGTTTGCAATCTATGGTCACAAACTTTATATTTCTATTTCTCCTATTTATGCAATTTTTGTTTAAAACTCAACTAAATTGCATGTGTCCAGTATCACAAGTATGCGCCAACTTATTTGTTATGTCATTATCCAATGACGCTCTTTCTAACAAAAAATGAGGATGATGCATGAAGTCAAACACGAATGTGTACCAAATCAGTAACATAAAAGCAAGATGGCTGTTAGTCAGCCATTACCGGTAATGATCTGCTTGTAAAACAAATTGTCATGGACATGTATTCTAACATTTATAATGCATATACCAAATTTGAACACAAACTGACTGAGCATGTCCAAGATATCACATTTTCAAAACAATTTCGGCCACCTTTCATTTGATCACAAAACAAAACGTCAGAGACCAAGTATGCACTGCATACTGAATCGGCAATATGTTAATTGCAAATTTGTTCTTAAAATTGGTGTTCTAAATTGAAATTTCATTCAACAATTTTAAATGTACTCTATTTCTGATTCATGTACCTCCAATGTTCTCAAGCACACGCAAGTTCTTTCGGAGCTTTCTTTGATTATTTTATGATGTTGGGGCACTGTAATTCTGTTCAGTACACTAGTTTGATTTGTGTTGACCTAGGAAGCATAAAGCCTAGCTGCTCAAGGAACAACAGAGATAAACACACACATAGCAATCACTACCATATCAGGTATCCATTTACTTCTAGGTGGAGAGAAGGACAGATGTGAAGCCCAAGGACACAATATCGCAAACCACCATGATTTGAAAGAACAACATTCTGATTGCAAGTCTAAAGTGCAGTTCTACAGTACATGTTTTTGTTACTTTGAATAAAGCAATAACCTCATTTGTCTCTGTGCTGGCAATCAAACCTGTTAACTGCATTCTGTGACACTACTGGTTAGAAATATATTCAATTGACGCATACATGCACGGGAACTCATGTAGAATGAGACATTCATCACTTATTTAGTGTGTACATAAACCTTTCTTATAAATCTTTATCTGAAAGTACATGTATTGGGAGTTTTTTTTTTTTTTTCATGTTTGTGATAACCTCTCAATCTCAAAAGCTGATTAATAAAAAAAGATTATATGTCCTCATGGGAATGCCAATTATGTATGTCACATGACACAAGGTAGGAATCCTGCATAGAGGGTGCACTTTTCCTGTGACAGTATCATACTCGTTCGACTCAGTGCCCACTTACTCCTCACTTTTAGGGCATTTCTAATCGAAAAAAAAATTATCTGAGTACCCTGGGTGCTATGTATGGTGACATCCATGCATATGATTGATGTAATCATTTCTTGAAGGAAATTTTTTCATCCAGGATGCAACTAAAAATAGTAGTGATAGAGGAAAGAGAAAAAAGAACCTGAATTATGAATACATTAAAAATTGGTATAATGCATTGTCATTTTCCTATTTACCCAAATTGAGTTGCGAGTGAAATGCAGTCTCATAGACTTCCTGAAAGTGCTCCGTTTGCAGTTAGTGACATGATTAGTTTGCTGAACTGAAGACAATCAAAGGTTCAACAAGATGTGAATGTGAATGATGAACATGGTAAATGTCTCACTTACCAATTTAACTGCATCTTTTGTTAAATTTGATGAAACTGCAAGAATTTCATTTGTGGAGTTAAACTTGCTTTGGGTGACACGCGTGACTAAATTCATCGCAGACTTGATTGGTTTAGGAGACTTGAGAGTCAAGCATGAATCATCATAGATATTTACCACTCCGCTGTCAGATCTGAGGAATACACAGATACTCGTATCAGGTTTAACCTTTTCACCACCAGGTCTCTTTTTTCATCACAAATTCACAAAATAGTCCTGTTTATAGTCTGCACTTTCCTTCAGAAGACTGGGAGAAAAATAGCCAATTTTTTTTAGTAAAACTGAAAATTGACTAAAATTTTGTCTGTTTACTTAAAAATGAGGGTTCATTTCCAGAAATATTGAAGAATATTAGAAAAAAAGTGCAGGAATATTTGGGCCGGAAAGTCTGGTGGTAAAAAGGTTAAATATATAAGCTTACACACAAAAAAAATCAATATAAAGACTAAACAAAAAATAGACCACCTCCCTGTTCAATACAATCTGAAATCAAAGAAAGCTTAGAAAGAACTCCTGTGTGCTGAGAGTATTGAAGACACATTAAAAATTAATTCAAAATTACTTGTACATGAGATATTGATAGAAAAGCTGAAAACTAATTATGTACATCAGGTAACTAATATGAACAGAACAGAACAAAAAAATTATGAATTAT